TGTGGGTGGGGGGGGGGGCAATTCTTCATGTGCTTCTCAAACCTTTAGCTCCACATCATGAGTTATGACATGATCATTTGTGTTATTATTCTGGTTGAAACAGGTTTTTCTTGCACAATTAGACTAAACATCAACAGTCATTTAAAGGTATTTTAATGGTGGAGTAAATCTGAATTGATTGTCGCACTGAATGCATTATTGCTTCTGTGCACACGTCTATCACCAGCTATCTATACAAGATTGTTTGAACCTTTGAAACCTTTAAAGTCAGAGTTATTGGAAAACCATTTTCCTTTGCAGGGAGAGAATAGACATTTTGTTCTGCTTTCAGACAAATGCCGTGTCAACATATAAACGTAATTCAGTTATAAACATGGATGGCTAGCAGGATGTTAATTTAATCAGCGTTCTAGCCAGAGTCAGAGTCTAGTCTGAAGGCACTTCTTCTGCAGTGTGAGAAGGTTCAGATTAACCGAACCTCCCGTCCAGTGTGTAGACACATTTCAGAAATTACTTTTATATAAAATTAGGTTTTGGGGGAAATTATTAAATGGAATAGTTCATCCAAAAATGTAAATTATAATGGTCCACTGTGACCAGATAATTGACTCCAGTTTAGTAAATGAATCATTCAGGCTGCTTTTGTGAACTAGATCAACAGATTCATTGAGAAGATCTGACTCAAAAAATGGTTATTCTTTCATAATTTAAAAATAACAACTTTTATAAAGCGAGCTAAAAGATTTCCGCGGACTTAAATTTGGGTCTGTTCATCACGCAACACTATTGTATAAAACATCAACAGTCATTTAAAGGTATTTTAATGGTTGAGTAAATCTGAATTGATTGTCGCACTGAATGCATTATTGCTTCTGTGCACACGTCTATCACCAGCTATCTATACAAGATTGTTTGAACCTTTGAAACCTTTAAAGTCAGAGTTATTGGAAAACCATTTTCCTTTGCAGGGAGAGAATAGACATTTTGTTCTGCTTTCAGACAAATGCCGTGTCAACATATAAACGTAATTCAGTTATAAACATGTTGGATGGCTAGCAGGATGTTAATTTAATCAGCGTTCTAGCCAGAGTCAGAGTCTAAGAGTCTGAAGGCACTTCTTCTGCAGTGTGAGAAGGTTCAGATTAACCGAACCTCCCATCCAGTGTGTAGACACATTTCAGAAATTAATTGTATATAAAATTAGGTTTTGGGGGAAATGATTAAATGGAATAGTTCATCCAAAAATGTAAATTATAATGGTCCACTGTGACCAGATAATTGACTCCAGTTTAGTAAATGAATCATTCAGGCTGCTTTTGTGAACTAGATCAACAGATTCATTGAGAAGATCTGACTCAAAAAATGGTTATTCTTTCATAATTTAAAAATAACAACTTTTATAAAGCGAGCTAAAAGATTTCCGCGGACTTAAATTTGGGTCTGTTCATCACGCAACACTATTGTATATGGCTTCAGAATATTCAGAATCATGTCTTGTGGTCACTTTTATAATATAGCCTATGCTTTTGAGTCATTTTGAATTGTTTTCAGATTTTATGGAAAAGAGCAACCAGCACAGTCTTCAAAATATTTGTGTTCCAAAGAAGAAGAAAAAAAGACTCACACACGTCTGAAAAGTGAGTAAATGATAACAGAATATCCCATTTGTGGGTGAACTATCCCTTTCAATGTATATATTTTATCATATTTTTTTTTTCCATTTCCCCCAAAACACCACACTGCACACATTTACAGACAACATGGCTTCATATAATGAACCCCAAAGCAAATGACAAAAGTGCAAAACAAGCTCTAATTTAAAAGTGCAGGGTGCTAAAACACAAACAGATACTGCTTGACAGAATCTAAGGGCTCCCATTACGACGACAGACAAAAATGCAAGAAACTTGTTGTGTAAGCGCTACAGCGCATTAATATTTACAGTAAATCTGAAAAAAAACAAAAAAACGCAGAAAGTACATTTGTCTTAAACTACACAAGGAAAATAAAGCTTATGGTACAACTTTTTGGCATTTTTTTTTTCAGCGTACAAAAAGAGGCTCTTAGTATACACACTGTTCTACAAATAATTATTAAGTCATACATATACAGAGAGAGAGTTCATACTGTACATGTGTCTATAAGCTTCCTAAAGCTTTGGAATGTCCGTGAGTCGTGGCTTTCGTCAAGCCGTGACAGTGCACGTCAACGGAGCGGCGAGGTGCTGCAATCCCTGTCGCCGCTAGAGGCCGCTGTTGCTTGCGCCTGGTTCCGTTCCTCCTCCGTCTGCTCGGAAAGGAAGCTTTGAAACGTCTGCGCTCGTGGAATGAGTGTCATGGTCAAGCTCGTACCTTAAAAGAGCCAAAGAGATCATAACGCATGTTATTGACACGGCACTGATTCCAAACGGCATTCGAGTAAAGATAATAAGAACTGTACGGCAAAACACATTTCTGTGCTTCGATTAACTTGTGCTTTTGAATGCAGAATTGATCGCCTTTGTGCATTAATATCGCACTGCTCCTCAAACAAGACGGAAAAAAGATCTTGGCATCTCTCCACCTATCAGTGTTTGGCACGCTCGCAGGAGAGGAAGATGGCTTAACTCGATTTTCTAGAGGTGGTCGTGTGATCAATTATGGATGAGGAGGAGTAGAATATCCAGGGTGAGACGAGGATACCTGCTCTCCAAGTAGGTTTCTTAACAATCCCAAGCCCATATATAGAGCACTGACTCAAACAAATAAAAGCTCACCGAGCGAATGACACAGACTTTATTTACAATCCAACCGAGCCGCTTCTGAGAAACGTACAGGTATTGCTTGGAAGATTGTAACTTGTTACAGGTGGGTGGGTTAGTTAGGGTGAACTGTTTCTTTGGTTGGTCTTTTCTTTTCTTTTTTATAAAAAAAACAATGAATTTTTTAGCAAAACAAGAGGGCCGAGTCCTGCGCCAGCTCTCTGTCCCCAATTCGCAAACTATCCGTCCTAAATAATTAGTGCGTCCCAAATCAGAGTTTTGAGAATAGTATGCTAAAGGTGCATAGTATTTCCAGTGGATTTGTTTTTCTCAGATATCACTACACGTCTTGCAAAAAAAGAACAAGAGAAAATGAGACTGTTCTCTTTTTTCAATTTGAACGGTCTCATTTCATCTATTTTGTAAATGCATGTTATAGATTTTATTGTGAACAATTCATCCATGGATACATTTTAATTTTTTTAACCTCATAATGTTTAATCAAAATGTCATAAACTTCCAGTGAAACGACAGACTTATGCTAGATTTCTCCAATCACTTATGTCTGCTTAACCCTGTAAAGCCTGACATATGAGATGAGTCAGATTTTATATTTATATTATTTTTAATAAAACATTTTATTGAACCTTTATGTGTTTTTAGTTATTAGAGTCCGATTTTATTTATTTATTTTGAGTATCATGTTTGATATATGAGGCTTTCATGGCTTATATAGAGCTCACACACAAGGGAAAAAAATGTTATGAAATACCGATAGCTTGTATTTAAATCAATGAGATATAACAGTATAGAAGACTACTTACATAAAATGCATTTAAATATCAGTTGTCACTCTATATCTCCCAGTAATGTCTTACAATTATATTTAAATACTTTGTTTTATGATCAAAGCCATTTTGATTTTCATTTTGTCAGTTTAATTTTATTTATTTTTTACAGTTGACTCCCAACAACTCACCCTACATACATACGTTATGCTGAGAAATATGTCACAATATGGAAGAAAAGATCTGCCGCTACTTACATTTCATCACAACTTTAAATGTATGGTTTAAAAATAAGAATTGCAGTAAATTCAGAGGCAAATGGTGTCTGTAAGTGTCAATTTTGTGACAATGTACTGTGGTTTAATACTTAATGCTAAAGTATCTACTTTCCAACCACTATACAGTACTGTATATATATTCAGTGTGTAATATAAACAGTCAATCACACTATGCTTTGTGCAAATTCATAGTGCAAAAAAGATGTATGAGAGTGGCATATGTTTCGTTTACATGGATGGAGAAACATTTGCTTTACTATTCGTACTAGAACATTTGTTTGTTTTTATAACTTACTGTAATGCAGTACTGTAAAGCAGATAAGATGATATTTAGCGGATCTGTTTATTTATGTGCTGATACAATGCAGATATCGGAGTCATTCAGGTAGTGAGTTTATGTATTTTTTGTTTAATTTCGGAGACCTTGACATTACTTGTCCACACATAATGCTTTGCTTAGCAATCATTAAAACATCACCAACATTACTTGAGCCTAAAGTGTCTGCAGCTTTAATTGTGTGAACTAGGTGAAGATGAAATGGAGTTTATTTCCAACCCTCCTCATCCGAACGTCCGATTACCCTTGTGTTTTCCTGAAAATTCCAGGCAGGTGTGTTGGAGGAGGGTTGAATGTGGCAGAACTGAGCGCTCCTGCTCTGCTACATGATTCAGGCGGCACAGAAGGTGTCCTCTCATCCAGATGTCACACTTTTGATGTAAGCGGATTTGTGGGAGGCTGTATGAACCCAAGGGCAGTCGGAGCGCCACTTGTCCTGCATGCTTGGTAAACATGTTATGCCTCTGTGGCCCCAGCGACCTGCCTACAGACACAATCTGTGTGTTTCCATCACCTTAGGAAATTGCAGTCAGGGTACCGCGCCACAGATGATCTGAGCGGGCAGTGAGCTCTACAGGATGGAGGAAATGAAGCAACGGCCAGATAAACAGCACTTGGATGATAATACACACACACACACACACACACACAGACAGACACTCTCACAATATTTGCAGTGTCTGGAGCCTACAAGCTGTATCACTTTCTTATAACAAAGGCAATACAGTGTACCTGAGCAACCAGGAAACTGTTTCTTTATCAAATACTGAGAGTCAAACCATAATGAAAAAATCAGACGACGTGACTGTAGTATACATTATAAAAATTGAAATATAAAATGTCAACAGATATATACAGCAATAGAAACATTTTTGAGCTTCAGAAAATTCTATATAATGCATTATATAATTATAAATAATCCATTATATATAATTGATAAAAGAACATGAGAGCTCAGCTCATGGGAATCACAGGTCGAGCTCGATTACATCCCTTTCAACACGGTGACTATGCTAATGTTGAGGGTGTGGCCGAGCGTGGATACGCGAGGATGCCCCCTGTTGAAGAGAAGTTTGTGAGCTCTCTTTCGCAGGGTGAGTCGTCCTCTGAAGACTCCTGCCTTGCTATCCATGGCACTTCAGACCACCTTGTGCGTATGTGGCAGTGGGTCAGGCTGGTGGAGCCTTGCACACCATGGCAGTGTTACAAGCCTATCAGGCTGACTTGCTGAAGGATTTGGATAAGGGCAGAGGTTTGTCTCCTGAGACAGTGGAAGAGCTGCGTCGCACCACAGATCTAGCTCTCCGCGACACCAAGCAAACTGCTGCTGCCATTGGTCACTCAATGGCGGCTATAGTGGCTACGGCGGCAATCTTGCGGTCACCGGGAAGAAAGAAAAGGACTTTCTTCTCGATGCTCCGCTTTCGGAAAGCTACTTTCAGGAAGTTCATTCCTCGGCGCCCCAAATCCTCCTCTGGGGGGGGGGTGATCTGTCTAGAGCTGAGGCTCATAGACAAGTTCAAAAGCCTAGCGTCGCTAACCGTGCCACTCCTAAAGCTAAAATAAAATATTAATATTAGATGAAAAACTGAAACTTACAAACTTAAACAATAATAAGAAATGTTGCCTTGGCAACTACCTGAAATAAGTTTGTCGAAGTAGTAAAATTACTACAACTGAAATAAAAAGCTAAATTTAAATAAAAAAAAATAAGAATAAATAAATAGATGACAACAGCACATAACAAAATTGCTCAAACTAAAAAATAAAAGCTAATTTAAAAAATCTTAATAAAAACTGTAATAGTATACAATGGCAAAGAGAACTTGTTAAACATCAAACACTAAACGAGGAAGTAAAAATACAATCTCCTCTTATCTTTATGCCATTAAAGGAGTAACATGCACAGAAAATGAGTTACATTTATTCTAACTAATAACCTCGACAGAAGTGCCGCTGTGTTTGACTTCCCAATTTTGACTGCAAACATCCAGTTGACCAACACCATCAGTTCCCACCGCAGGGGCTCCAACTAACAATGACCAGAGAAGAAAACAAGTGACAACCTCTCCATTCTTCTTCATTAGTTCCTATGAAATGGCAGAAGC